TATTATCATTGCTGTATACCGCTAAATCCTGTTCGAAGCACCAAAATTCATACAGAAAAGAAGTTCCCTATGTCTTTTTTCCGGAGTGGAGCAAGGAGGGTTTCGTTGAATTTGCCTCAAGGGTTCAGGTTTGATCCAACAGACAATGAAGTTCTGTTTTATCTGAGGAAGAACATATTGGATCAGCCATTTCCTGCTAATGTGATTCCAACTGCTGATGTTTATGGGACCAACCCAGATGAGCTTCCATTTTGTAAGTATTTGTGTGTAATTTTGCATGTGTGATATACAGATTGCGATTGGGATTTTGGGTGTGAATTTGTTTGTTGTGTTTGTGATTTTTTAGCGATTTTGTTAGAAGCTTATTTATGTACATGCATGCAATGTAGCATCCGGGATCTGAATTTTGGGTTCATGTGTGTCTCTCTGAGATTATGGATTATGATTTATCAATTTTTGTGCCATATGAGTTTTTGCAGAATTTACCCTTTCATGTTTGCATGTTTATGTTCTGTGATAACTCTTGGTTACAATTGGGGAAATTTTCAATTAAAATTGATTTGATTTTCAAGGGATCTAACTTTAAGGGTTCAAAAGATACTGTAAAAGTGGCCTGATTTTTAGCCAACAATTTGTTTTGGGCATTTGATGATATTGATCTACATTAGTGAAATTTGATTTTAAGTTAGGCTTACGGTTTGGTTTTGAAGTTATTGTATGTCTTATTATTGTTTCCTTAAATTTAAATTTGAAGTTAAAGTTACTATTTGGTTTTGAAGTTAAAGATAATATTGTTTTTTCAATTTTGGAAAACAGTTGTGAATGTATTAATATAAAATTATTGTTGAGAGTTTGAGTGATTTTCCCATATGCTGATGGACTCTAGAGAGTCAAGGGAGGACTGGATGCCCATGGGATTAAATGAATAGAGGCCTCCACTCTGTTTGATGGCCATTATTTTTAGAAAATTGAGTTTCGAATATTAATTTTTTGGAGAACGTGTAGTTAAAAAGTAGATAAAAATTTTGGGTTTAGGTACAAAATATTTTATTGTGTAAATGTGTGGTCGAAAATGAGTATGAGAATTAAAGAGTTTTGAAATAGTGGTTGTCAAACGGGGGCAGTATTCCTTAGATTCAATTTTTAACCGGGATGAGGTTTCTATATAATACATGTTTAGTCCGGCCAAAATTAGATGATGTCAAGGTTCGAACTCAGGATTGTCGGTTGTTGACGTGTAGGGCGTTGATCTTCATTGGTCGTGGCTTTTAAGAATGGAATTGGCCAATTCATGCATTTCGCTAAGTCAAGGTATTAGAATATTCTGAACAACACAGAATCACACGTGTAAGAATAGGACCGGCAAATGTGCACCTTTTACTAAATTGAGGAGTCCAAAAATTATGAAAAATTCGGAGAAAAAGAAAAATATTTTAATGGACTGTAGACATCTTAAATAAGTTTAGAAACTTTATTTAATGTATCAAAAGTTAGCTAAGTGGAAGTTCTAACCAGAATCTTGATCCAACAATAGAGAAGTTACAGAATAAATGACCGTTATAAAAGAGCCATAATGTGTCGACTGTAACTAAAGACAGTCGGAGAAAGCGTGCGTGATCATGGACAAAAACACGGAAGAGAATGTACTTTTCAACTTGAAACCTCTGTAATGCGTTTGTCCAATATGTGATTGTAGAACACTGTGCATCGACTCCTCGTCCTGGCTTTTGATCCAATGCCCTTGTGTAACAAACAAGGAGGCTATCCCTAATGATCTCCCATTAGCAACGAGACAGAAAACCACTGTACTTTTTCGTTATTTCCTACTCCATGATGCTTCTCCAGTTGAGCAGGAAAAAAAGAAGTTGCCAAGATGGCTTTGGCGACTTGTGAATTCTTCACTCATCTCTATTGTTATATCACGTGGCTAAACTTGAGCTAGCATGGGCTGACCTGAGTCAAAACTACTCTTACTTTCACTTGAAGGAAATGTGTACTGGTGTATGGTATCTCTTTTGGAACATCAAATGCCGTTCCTACTATGAATCTGGACTCATTCATGGTTTGAAAAATGAAGATAACTCTATAAAACTGCTCGTTTTTTAATAACTAAACACAAACAAATAAGCCTTTTTTCCTAAATATTTGGGGTTGGCTATATGAATTATTCTTTGCCATTCCGATTTGATCATTATTAGATGTTGGGACATATAAAGCAACTTGATTTTTAACAACTATGATAGGCCATGTTAATTTTTGTCTCTCCCTCTTCTAACTTGCTCTACAAAAATTTTATCACTTATGAACAAAAGTCTCTTTATATCATTTGCTAATAGCTCAGACTCTAAATATAGTGAATAGAAAGTTAAATCTAATCTCAGGTCATTATCCGATTCTGGTGAGGTTTTTAAAGATAATTCTGTCAATTACCTAGGCAACTAATTATGCTGCTAAAGTGAAGCAGTAATTATGTGACTAGCCTGGATATTTTACATTCATGACTTGTCATTTGACTAATTATTTGAGTGAGTTGTCTACTGATATTTCTATTTGAAATGTTGAACAGGTGACTTCAAGGATGGGAATGGAAGTTACTGGTTCTTTTTTACTACCAAGCTTAGTGGCGACCTCATCACAGAGGATGGTTATTGGAGTCCTATAATTGATGAAAGAATAATTGATGGCACTAAAGTAGTTGGTTTCAAGCGGCATCTTGTTTTTCACCAAGGAAAAATATCTTCAGGGACTCAAACTCACTGGAACATACATGAATTTGGAGTGAATCCCAGTACATTTTCAGCTGCCGAACTCAGCGATGGCATCAGAAAGAAGGTAAGAATGTATAGGCTTGATTCATGTACTGGAATTTCGAAATTCATAAGCACCATTCATGTAGTAGGTTTAAGTGATGAGTGCTGAATGGTGGGTTGAAAACACTAGTGGTCACTTAAATTTAACGAATTTCACATTGGTCGCTAATGTTGTTCCAAATTGATCATTTTACTAAGGATTGTTTTAAGATGGTCACTGGACTCAAATGTTTGTTGCATTGTAGTGATTCCTTGCAATTCTGTTAGTCAGGCTAACAGAATGACTAAAGTGTAACAGTTAGTTTAACTAAAGAGTAACAACCGTTTAAGCCCAGTGGCAAACTTGAAACAAAATGAAATTTAGCAACCAATATAAAATTTTGTAAAAAGTTTGTAAACCCCCAGTGTATTTACCCCAGTGATAATTGCTCAGTCGGTACCCCCACCGTGGGATTCTTGATTTGTGCAAGCATAAATTAAGCTATTTCCCCGTGTGGATTCATGCTTTCTCCTTTCAGATATCAAATCTGGTAGTATGCAAGATTTTCCTTACGAAGGATGATCCAATTACTGGTTTCGAGGGAGAGATTGAAGAGGAAGAGGAAGAGGGATTAGAAAAGGAGGAAGCTGCCAATCCTAGTAATAAATGGATCGGAAGAGGAGGATGAAGCTGCCAATCCTAGCAACGAAGTTGACCTCGTGAATTCACTGTTGGATTCACCATTAGCCCAATCAAAACTTTTCAACAGGATAAATTACTGTAACTGTACCCGGTAAACCTGTTGTGTCTCTAGCTCATATATGGGGAAGTAATTAAAAATGTATTATTAGCATTTAA